AATTAAGCGCAACAACGCACCTCAATGAGGATGTTAATGCAGAAGAACGTCTTTGTGAACAGAGTGCAGGATTGCCAGAGTCATACAGAGAAGGGGACGCTCATACGTGCGAGATATGCAGGAAATCATTCTCTCGTAGATATAATCTGTCGGAACATGCAAGTGGAAGCAGCACAGAAACAATGTCTCGTTGTGAAATGTGTGTCACATATTTAACTCCTAAGCGTAGTGAAGCACAACGATTCAGTGGTCCTGTACAGCCTTTTGCATGCAATGTATGTAAAAGAAGTATCCCTGGTCGCACTGATCTAGAGAACCATATCAGGGTACACACTGGAGAACGGCCATTTTGCAGCGAAATGTGTAAGATAAGGTTCACTCTGCTCCATAACCTGTACAGGCATCGAAAAGTACTCAATGGAGAAAGACCATTTTCTTGTGAAGTATGCAAGAAGGCTTTCGCTGAGAAATTTGGCCTGCAGAATCATCTCAGATTGCACAGGGGAGAACGGCCTTTTTCGTGCAAAAGGTGTAAGAAAACTTTCGCCCACATCTCGAACCGAAACATGCATCTCAGAATACACGCAGGACAATGACCTTTTTCATGCAAAGTGTGTAAGAAAACTTTCGCTCACCGCTCGAACCTACACTCACATCTTAGAATCCACAGTGGAGAACGGCCATTTTCTTATCAAGTTTGTAAGAAAACATTCGCTGAGGGCTCTACCCTGAAAATTGTCTAAGAATACACAGTGGAGAACGGCCTTTTTCTTGTGAAATGTGTGAGAAAATTTTCACTCAGCGCTCTAGCCCGAAGAATCATCTGAAGGTGCACAGTGGAGAACTGCCTCTTTCTTGTAAAATGTGTAAGAAAAGGTTGTCTCAACTCTCTGACCTGAACACGCATCTCAGATACACAGTTGACAACTACCGTTTCCATGCAAAATGTGCAAGAAAGGGTTCGCGCATCGCTTCATTCTGAATATGTATCTCAAAACACACAGTACAGAACAAGCAAGATCGTGCAATATGGCGGGGAATGTCCACTCTCGGCTGATAATTAAAAAGGTGTCACGCGGAATATCATGAGAGAGAAAGCATCATTCAACAAGAAAGTGCGATTCTACAGATATATATTAATTTTGCGGTTCTATGAAAATACATTTTTTGTCTCAACTGCATTATGGTGTGTAAAATAATTTGTTTTGCTTCAAGAATTCCTCTGGTTAAAGAATGTAAATGTTTTACCGTTTGATATGTTTCGGGACCAGCTCTGTCACATTTATATCCTCACATGTACTCTCATTCCTTTCTTATTTTTTCGTATAAGTTCTGCTAAATTCTTTGAAGCTTTGTTTCTTTCTATTACAGGAATATCACAAATGAATCTCCTCTGTTTATAGTTATCAAGAGGTGTTCAATATTTAATTTCAAATGTTTAATACTTTCTGTACACTTCAATGAATTATTACGATTAAATTTGCTACTTTACGTGCATTAACTCAGTATTGTTTATTGGAAATCTGATTGGTATATTGGATTTATATAATTTTATCACTATCTTGTGTGTTGTGCTTTTGTTGTGTCGTGCTCCTGCGACTGTGTGTGTTATACTGTTGGGCTTCCTGGGTATGTGTGTGTGTGTGTGTGACACACATACCCAGGAAGCCCAACAGTATAACACACACAGTCGCAGGAGCACGACACAACAAAAGCACAACACACAAGATAGTGAAGGAGTGCTCCAACAAAGGAGAATGGGCGTGACTGACGTAGTGAGGGGCGACGTAGCGATGTGGTATCCTGAACAATTTTAATACTTTTAACGTTTGACAATGTATATGATAGATACATATTTTAGTTATTTTAATGTGTGAACATGGCATGCAATGAACTGGTTTGACGTGGACAAGTAAGCACCTGAAGATGGCATTATTATGCCGAAACATGTAGTGCGAGGGAAAGAAGGAGATAAATGAATGTATGCACTGCAAGACGGATTAAATAAATCATGGATCTCTACGTAGTTTTCAGACCACGTAACTGCGCCCTAACAATTACAAAGGTAAAATTGGAGGCTAACGCTGGGCATCACCAAGCCTACAATAACAGAACTGTTATAGTCTTCACCAATAGTTCCACTGTAACAGCTTCCAATAATGGAGAGCTTCGTTACTCTCCGGGAAATATCCCACAGCTCTGACCTACAAATTCGGCCTCAAAATTTTATTACGACTCTCTGTTTACCGCCAATCATTTCACCTTGGAGTAGAAATAATAGAGACTCACGATCTGATTTTTTTTCGGCCGAGCCCTTGCTACAATATTCTTCTCTAACGAGAAGAGAGATTATCTCCTAAGAATACTCGTATGCTTGGCCTTTCGTCAAATGCACGTGTCTCATGTTATTCAAATCCTCCTTTTGCTCTATAGGTGAGTCCTCTGTAAGTAGAGGCTTTGCAAAGAAAATCAACCCTATCTTACGAATCTTACTCTACAACAGCAGCTTAGACAACTGAACAGTCGTAAGCTCGCCAAGTTGAAGCCTCTTATACTTGTATATTCAATATCTAGCTACGCTTTAGCCTGTACCACGAACATGTTCATTCTCAGGATCTTGTAATACTTCTGATTGTCGCCTGCACAATTTCCTTATAATCGTATATATGGAAGGGCTGAAAGTCATGTGCAAATATCGGACCGGTGTGCGCCTTGGAAACTTTGAACGGCGCAGAGAAATTCGTTTTGTAAGCACTACAACTTCAGTTGGTGGGTGTCTGCCATTAATTCGCAAGTGTGGCGAGCATAAGCCATTAATGATCTGATAAGTGCCTAAGGAGGGTCAGTTTAATATTGGTGCTTAAACGCTCACTGCTAATAGGGAGTAGTTTCTAATAAATGTTTTGACTGCATTGGTTTCAATAATTTGTATGTGCAGTCTCCATGTAATCCTCTTATCGAAGATTACACCCAAATATATTACATGAGTGATGAAGGAGATATTCCGTTCATTCAATGTAACATGAGCCTCAGGGGACCTCAGTTTATGTGAACTGTAGCTACAGTTATTTCCCTTATAATATTTCAGGACGGACCGTATAGAAAAAAACCGTTTAAAACAGTTTCCAAATTGTTGCGCGCGGACTCGTTACCATGGGAACTTGTCTGTTTCCGAAGGCATTATTCAGTAACGGGTCTACATGATACACTATATATATTCAAGTGCGAAAAGTCATGGGATAGCAGTATGTAAATTTATTTTTAAGTGGCGCCACCGTCCCTTGACGTCTTGGGAATGCCCAGAGCAGTATCACTTGTGAGGTGTTCTCTCGTGAGTCAGGTTGAACACCGGCCAGTCTGATCATGGCAAGCTGACGTGAATTATCGGAGATTGAACGCGTCATGATAGTGGGTGCCAGGCGGATGGGACATCCCATTTCCGAAGTTGTGCGATCATTCAACATTCCTCGATCCACGGTGTCACGTGTGTACCGGGAATACTTTGTGGAAGGCATTTCCACCCACCATGGACAGCGCAGTGGCCGACTACCGGTGCTTAATGATCGTGACCAGCGGCGTCTAGCTAGAATTGTCCGTTGTAACAGACAAGCGACACTGGCTCAAATCACATCCACATTCAAAGCAGGAAGTACCAGACGCATATCCAGCCGGTCAGTGCAGCGTTCTTTAGCTTCAATGGGATATGGGAGCAGAAGACCGACCAGAGTGCCTCTGTTAACACAGCGCCTCACCTGGGCTTGTGACGTCGCTAATTGGACCCTGGAGGATTGGCAACATGTGGCGTGGTCCGATGAGTCACGGTACCAGTTGTTTCGGGCGGATGGAAGCATTCGGGTGTGGCACAGACCCCATGAGCCCATGAACACCCATTTGTCAACAAGACACCGTGCAGACTGGTGGTGGTTCCATACTGGTGTGGGGTGTGTTCACGTGGCATGAGTTGGGCCCGCTCGCCCATATAAACACCTCATTGACCGGTGACCGCTACGTTACACTGCATGGTGACCATTTGCAGCCCTTCAGGAACTTTTTGTACTCCCACAGCGATGGGATATACCAGCAGGACAATGCACCCTGTCATCGGGCTGGAGTTGTCCAGAATTTGTTCGAGGAGCATTCTGGAGAGTTCCGACGAATGGTGTGGCCACCACGGTCGCCCGACATGAACTCAATTGAGCATTTATGGGACGTGGTTGAGAAGTCCACTCGCACCCAAAATCATGCACCTAAAACTACCAGGGAGCTGTGGGCGGCCATCCAGACGGCATGGCTCAACATCTCCCCAGAGAACTTCCGTCTACTTGTGGAATCGATGCCACGTCGAGTTGCTGCACTTCGCCGGGCTAGAGGGAGTCCTACACGATACCTATCCCATGACTTTATCACTTCAGTGTATTATTATAAGTGCTCGAAGTATTAGCCCTCAATATCAGTACTGTGTTGCTGTGATGAGTGAATGATTCAGAAATATTTCAGGTGAAAGACTTTACAGTCAATCCCGTATTTTCACTTGACTAGGTTCAGAACAATAGAAAATCTTCTGCGGCTAATTCAAATCCGTGGTTTCTAAAGGATATGTACGACAGCAGTTCGGAAATGAACATTCGGTGAGTGTTAATAAAATAAGCAAAACAAGAAAATGTGTTATATACAAAACATACGTAATTACTCTAGCCGCACTATGGCCGTGAGGTCGACTCGGCCTTTAACGGGGCCATACTGAGGCTGAAAGGATTATGTAAATTGAAAAATTCCAATGAAAAATGAACAAAAAATATAGAAATTATGCCTAGAATTGCATTATTTGTTCTGCATTCTACTGGTTCATTGCGATGTGTGGGTGACAGAAGAAAGTTGCATGTAACGTAGATTTTTAATTTTGTTGATTTTTTCGAATTTTTGTTCCTATATAGAATTATCTGGTAGAAAAAAGTAAAGCTGTCTCTGTGTTTAATTAATCAAGCAGTAAACCATGAATGTATATGTGGGAATGGAGGTATATCTCCACCGTTCTGGAAATCGGCATTAAAGGAGACGAGTGATCAGCTCCAAGACCTGGACTATTTACCCCGGGGAAATATTCTCCTCCACCAAGTAAACTAGAGTCTGGGTGGGACTCAGGCCCGGTCTGGACGCTGTGGAATAGAGAAAAGTGCCATGCTCTTGTCGGGGATAGATGCCCGGGTGTCCAGCTTCCAGCTTGCAGACAGAGCTATTCCGGATCAACTTAAATTAAGGTATTTCTTCGAACAGCTGCTTAATTATTTACTTTCAACTTTTAATTCCTCAACGGTACTCATTTATATATTTTGCAATAAGATTGAGAAATTGGCCTATGAAAACAATTTTTTTAATGCTATTGGGGTGGGACTAAGTCCATTGTACTGCGGCCACTTCTGGCCCATTTTACCAGGCCAAGATGATAGGTGAGGGTCATAATGGAGCAATTGGTGGATTGACGATTGGCAAGGAAAACCGAAGTACTCGGAGAAAACCTGCTCCAGTGCCACTTTGTCCACAAAAATACATCTTCACCAAACACGGGATCGAACCCGGGCGGCCACGGTGGGAAGCCAGCGACTAACCGCTTGAGCTATGGGGCGGAATTGAAAACCCGTTAATTTATACTAACTGCGCTTCAGTGCAACGCAATAGAACCTGTTGAAAAATGCATTCATATGTAAATACGCATTGCAATCTCATAGATGGCATTTAACTAAAAGCACGGGAATTGTCAATGACAAGGGTGCAAACTTTCCGATTTATGTATTGGAATATCATTTCAAATTTTATTATTTTATTTTCTGATATCATTGCACGCTCTGGTGTATCAGCGTCTAAATTTTATGTGCGTTCGCCACAGAACAACAGAAGCAGAAGAATAACAAGAGAAGAATGGCAAGTGAAGAAGAACGCCTTGAGAGATTGCGAAGGACGTTGCATTCCTTAGCAACTCGAGTCCCAAAAGTAATTCTGACACGAGTTGACTGGACATTTCCTGCTTTGAAGAATCAGGCTGTAAGTGTTGTGTGCCCAACTATAAATTTATAGCAGAAACATTTTTTGTTGTCATGTTCTCCAATTGTCTTCATCTAAACTTTATGTGCCATGTAACTACATCATGTGCACTTATCTTCATTGCAGTTCACTCTGTGTGTGGTGAATCTCTATAACCGTCACTTCACGTATCCTTACTGACTTTCATTTTAAAACCGAAATTTCAAAACAATTAGGCACAACAGAAATGCACTTCACATTAAGACACATCCCAAAAAATTGTTCCGCTTATATCGACTCTCTTATTACACTCGCAATTCTATCTTGATGTTCTACGAGGCTACATTCCTAAAGATTTCAGCACAAATATACGGTATGCATATGTGTTCCCCCAGTTCCAAATTACAGGTGCAGACTCCTTCTCAAAGAAGCAACGCTTTTCAGATGCAACTAAATTGAAGAGATAGGCGCAGTTATATTATTAATAAATACAAATTAATAAAAACCACAATAATAATCACAAGATAAGAATTTTTAAGTATGAAAATTATAAAGGAATAAGTGACTACGCCTTCGGATATTGCCGTTTAATCCCAGATTTCTGCAAATGTACAAGAACAAGTGACTATGCCTTTTGTTTAATGCCGTCTATATGCAACTTCGTTTACTATTTAAGCGTTTTTTTTTGACACTATATATTTTCCGTCTAAACGACCACCTTCAAATGTACAGGTTGTCTGCCATCCACTCTAATGCTTTTGGTCTCTCTCATGTTTGCCTTGACTTACTTCCGGTTATGTGAGTTATCCATCTGCTTTCACTTTCGTTTCATTAACCTGCACGTGTTTGCATTATCTGTAATATATGAAGTGATATATTACAGTACTGTTTTGAGTTACACCGACACACGTAACTCATATTCATAACATTATAGGAAACAAACACCAGAGAGCTGCACACAACACACATTACATCTTAGGAAGCAACACAACCCACCTTACGAAAAGACCTACAAACACGGACCATGATGGTGGACCACACCAAGCCAGAACAGCCAAGACAGTCATAAGCAACAAATCAAACAATACCGTAAATAATACCATATATTCGTGAACGGAATATGAATTTGTATCTCAAAAAAAGTTCTAATATTACACAATCGCATATTACAAATAAAGCAAAAGACGTATAGCTTAAGGACACCAAACTGAAAACAGATAATTAACGAACGTAATCAGAAGTGAAGTGAGACGGCTTCATAAGACACAAAACGGTTTTACAGTGAGCAGCAGATTCCTTGTACATGTGAAGAGGGCCGAAACATGTAGTGTTTGTCACCGAAGTTGCACATAGACGGGATTAAAGGAAACCGCAGAGTCAGACCTGTGCAGTGCAACAGGATCCTGCAATGTAACTTTATGTACAGAACTATCATTTACACACGCTTGAACGTGCTCTATACCAGTAAGAATTTCAAGAACTATTCCAGTCAAACTTTTAGACATACAAGGCAAAGAGTGATTCTTCTTTCGCAAATAATTGCAGTTGGTGGCAGGACCAGTTTAAGTGATTGGGTTAACCAATGCGTAGCATTGCGTGAGACGCAGGCAACATTTCCACTGAAACTGGCAGACAAATGTTAGTACCTGCTTAGAGAAATTTATGTTTGGATTAGTAAATTTGGGGATCAATCTGGGACAAAATTTCATCTTTGTTTCTCCTTGTGTAACAGGATTTGTAAAGGTGTCGTGTGTATTATTGGGAACTGTCTCCGAGCCCAACTATACTGGGGGGTTCTTATAATATTTCTGTTCTTTTTTTTTCAGAGTATTAAATTAAATGGAGCAAATATTGAAGCAACACACGTCAATATGGATTTTAATGTTAAGGAATTTCGTCGTGAACATGGAGAAGAATTGTTAAACAGAGAAGGAATCTTCGATTCTTGCGAGATATGTAAGAAGTCATTCTCTCGTTGGAATAATTTGTTGGGACATGCAAGTGGAAGTAGTAGAGAAACAACGTCTCTTTGTGAATTGTGTGTCACATTGTTAAATCCTGAGCAGAGTGCAGTACCAGGATCAAGTATTCTCAGAGAGTCTTTCTCTTGCAAAGACTGCAACAACTTAACAAGTCACTCTAATTTGTACAACCATACCAGAGTGCATGCTGCAGATCGGGAATTTTCTTGCGAAGTGTGTAAGAAATCGTTCGTCCAGCGATCTAACCTAATCAAACATTTCAGAGTTCACAATGGAGAACGCCCTTTTTCGTGCAAAATTTGTAAGAAATCGTTCGCACAGCGCTCTAACCTAAACAAACATTTAAGAATTCACAATGGAGAACGGCCTTTTTCGTGCAAAGTGTGTATGAAATCGTTCGCACAGAGAAATAACCTAAACAGGCATCTCGGGACACACAGAGGGGAGCGACCGTTCTCGTGCGATGTATGTAAGAAACGGTTCATTCAGGTTTATCAACTAAATACACATCTCAGAATACACAATGTAGAAAGACCCTTTTATTGCGAGGTGTGTGAGAAAACATTCGCTAATGGCTCTATCCTGAAGAATCATCTGAGGGTGCACAATGGAGAACGGCCTTTTTCGTGCAAATTGTGTAAGAAAACTTTCACACAGAGTTCTACCTTATACAGGCATCTCAGGGCACACACTGGAGAGAGACCGTTCTCGTGCGATGTGTGCATGAAACGGTTCACTCAGCTGCATAACCTAAACATACATCTCAGAATACACAGTGGAGAAAGACCCTTTTCTTGCGAAGTGTGTAAGAAAACTTTCGCTAATAGAGATATCCTGAAGAAACATCTGAGAGTGCACAGTTGAGAACGGCATTTCTCGTGAAAATTGTGCAAGAAAACGTTCACTCGCCGCTTCGTTCTGAATATGCATCTCAAATCACACATTGCATAACAAGCATGATCGTGAGATATGGAAGGGAATGTTCATTCGTGGCAGAAAACTAACAAGCATCGCATGGAATAACATTAGGGATAACCTTTACGTTTAATGTGTGCAAGAAAACATCCATTCATCGCAACAGTGCGAGACTATAGAGACATTATTTATTTTGCATTTCTATGAAATTATTTAATGCATCAACGGAATTATTGTGTTTAAAATAACATATTTTGCTTCAATAATTTACCTGGTTACAGACACTGAACGTTTTACCGTGTGATATATTTAGGGGCCAGATTTTCACCATTGTACCTTCATAATTTCCTTGATTAAAACTCGTTTCTTTAACATACGCTCGTTCTTTCGTATTATTCTAAGTTGTATTAATCTCTTTGAAGTTTTGTTTTATGGTATTACAGGAATATTCACACATCAATCTCCTCTGTTCTTTGTATGAAGATATGTTCAGGATTTGGTTTCATATTTTTAATGTTTTCGGTTGAATTCATTGATTTTTGGCAATTAACAAAACACGGCCATCTATTTTTCCTTCTTCTCATTTCACGATTTGTTGTTACTTTTATTTAAATAATTGTAATTATTATGTTCGAAGTGATAATCCTCAGGAGCAATAATCCGCTTGAACTGTTTTACGAAAGTCTTGATATACTTAAGATTGCATAATAGGAGCCTGAACGCTTGCAATGAATATTACATTCAGAATATTCCTGTTTTATGTGTGATTCAAAACCTTCTGAAAGCCTATTAAATTTGATCCAGCAGTCCGTCTGTCCTTATAGGACAACTCGAGAGACCGTGTACAGGTTTCAATGAAACTGGACATTTGGAAATCATAATGATGCTTATTCACGAATTCAGAGCTCGAGTATAATCGAGAAAATGTTACCTACAGTTTACACGAAAATCCGCATTCCTTTCTGTAGGTAAATTGAATGTAACGCCGTTAAGTATTTTTCAGGGCTATCCTGGCGGTGACATGCTAACCCGCAACGGGGCACCGAGGGATCAGTTACCGCTGAAGACGTCGCAGGGCAATGTGGGCAATATCTGACACGAAGGCAAGCAAATGAATAAAATACGACGAGTCAATGGACGAATAAATGTAATAACCGTAATAATAATATTGTCACGTGTATTAGTTGTGCGTTCAAGTTCTAAGGTCTCCAATTTTTTTCTCACACAATAACCATACAAACAATTTGAAACTTCTGTCACTTTTCAACGTAATCTCCCTGCAGCCATACACATTTTTCACAACGTCGACACCTTGATTCCATGGCCGCTATGAACGCTTCTGTAGAAGTCTGTTTTGACCACTGGAAAATCGCGCTTTGTTTCAGGATTGAAAAACGGCATCCATGTCTCATCCATTGTCACAACTGATGAAAACAAAGTCCCATTCATGCCTTCATCACGTGTCAACATCGCCTGGCAAATTGCCATGCACAGCCTTGTGGTTGTCCACCAGCATTTGTGGCACCCACCTGGAGGACATTCGCAGGTCTTCATGCAGGATTGTGTGCACAGATCCCACGGAAATGCCAACTTTGGAGGCAATGTTTTCCACACTCAATCGGCGATCCTCCAAAACAACTTTCTCAACTCGGTAGAACATGTTGTCAGACCAGCTGGTGCAAGGCCGAGATTGTTTTGATTCGTTGTCACACGACATTCGGCCTTCTTTGAACTGTCACACCCACAAACGTACATTTTTCACATTCATGACACCATCACCACATGTCTCATTCAACTGGCGATGAATTTTAATGCGTGTAACGCCACGCAAATGGAGAAAACGAATGATTACTCGCTGTTATTGTAACGAAAACGTCGCCGTTTTAAGTATCGAAAACACTGCTCACTCTCGCTGCCAGCACTAGAGTTCTGTGTGCTGTACAGTGCTGCCATCTCTGTCACGCATTCACAAAGAGTGCACATGTATTTTAAACTAAACCGCATGTGTCTATCTGCTTCCAGTCCTGAGAAAAAAAATGGAGACCTTAGAACTTGAACGCCCCTCGTAATTACGCGGGTTCGGGTTTGAATTTCTAGGTTTATTTACTCCTTATATGCATCACAATTATTTACACGTAATCACAGCGCTATCACTGATTCTACACTTTATAATTCAGTGTTATACACAAACACACAATGGTCCCCTCCTGGTACTACAACTAGAACACAGGAACTACAACATTCTCACTGAATCACGTACTCCAAATATTACACGTGAATAGATTATTCTAAAAACGCCAGGTCTTCACACGACGAACAATCCTTAGCTATCATCCACCGAGAACTCAGAAGTCAGAACTCTGAACTATGTCACTCAAAATTGAAAATTATTATATTTGTAACTGTAGATATATAGCCTCCGAATCGACCAAGGACGCAGAACACAGTCCTACTGTTGCATAAGGAAATCCACATACAAACATGTCACGTGATTTCTACCTCGCCAATCCTTTGGCGCGCTGAGTGTTGCCTAGCAAAGAACTATAAATATCCGTCCTATGGTTAAGTGCGTTTATGCGAGATGTTTATCATTCCATTGCTTAGTTATGCATGTTATATAATAACAATAATAATACAGGTACAGTCCAAGGGAAATTACAGTAATTTTACAAACCGAAATCCAGGCACAGTCGATTGTGCTACTCAGAAACAAACTATGTATCTAATTAAGTATAAAATATTTGGCCGAAGAACGCTGTTTGCTGCTACCCTGGAGAGACAGAGAGAGCAATGGAACGGACTCAGGAGACCATGACATTGAAGGAAGACAAGGGAGTAGTAGAGGTTGAAGCTATGGTATAGAAGGAATGGGACGCAGCAGGACGTAGGAAGTGGTGGGACATGGGACGATATACGAAGTTACATAGGATGATATTAAAATCTGTAAGGCGTATAGTACCCATTTAAATGAATAAAACAGGGCCCCGTCAACATGTTTCCAGGAAATAATATTTGCTCAAATATGTGTGCCAGGGTCTAGGAGGGCGCCTTAGATGATGGAATCTTAAGACCACATGTCTTTCCTAGCAGACTAGCAGGTGCAGTGCACCGTCTTTGTTTTCTGAGTGATTTACCGGTTACTCCTTTAACATGTTCCTTTTCACACCGATCAAGGATCAGATATGTCATTCATTCTTGATAGGGCACCACCT